AGTTAGAGACAAGAACCTATTAGAGACAAGAACCAGTTAAGAGACAAGAACCAGTTAAGAGACGAGAACCAGTTAAAAGACGAGAACCAGTTAAAAGACGAGAACCAGTTAAAAGACGAGAACCAATTAAAGACGAGAACCCATTAGAGACGAGAACCAGTTAGAGACGAGAACCAGTTAGAGACGAGAACCAGTTAGAGACGAGAACCAGTTAGAGACGAGAACCAATTAGAGACGAGAACCCATTAGAGACGAGAACCAATTAGAGACGAGAACCAATTAGAGACGAGAACCCATTAGAGACGAGAACCCATTAGAGACGAGAACCCATTAGAGACGAGAACCAGTTAGAGACGAGAACCCATTAGAGACGAGAACCCATTAGAGACGAGAACCCATTAGAGACGAGAACCAGTTAGAGACGAGAACCAGTTAGAGACGAGAACCCATTAGAGACGAGAACCCGTTAGAGACGAGAACCCATTAGAGACGAGAACCAGTTAGAGACGAGAACCAGTTAGAGACGAGAACCAGTTAGAGACGAGAACCAATTAGAGACAGTTTGAGCGTCTGATCTGTGTACAACCTTTATTATTCAGCAAAGAGGAAACTGAGGCAGTGGGAGGGGCTAGAACACCTGTGGGCAGGTACTCTGATCCTGCTGAGCTGGACTGGAAACCTGCAGGTCCAGAAGGACCAGATCAACAAGCAGGAAGCATCTGTCCTGTTAACCCCTGAGCCTGAACATGAAACACCTGCAGAGTGTCTGAGCTCACCTGAGCAGAACCAGGCTGGTCTTAWATGACAACATCGGTAAAACGAGCTCACCTGGTGGCTACATAAAATTAGCACTCAGCTTCTTGCCCTGCCCGTGGCTAACAGCAGGCTAACATGGAGTTAGCATGTGGCTAACAGCAGGCTAACATGGAGTTAGCATGAAGCTAACAGGAGGCTAACATGGAGTTAGCATGAAGCTAACAGGAGGCTAACATGGAGTTAGCATGAAGCTAACAGGGCAGACAGATCAGCTGTTTCATGTGAAATAACAAAATAAGACTGAAGGTTGGAGTCACAACATCAGGAAGCTAACAGGCCGGAACACCTGGCTACCTGACAGCTAGCTTAGCTTAGCTTAGCCCGATGAGTGAGGAAAACAACGGACCGAACGCTACAAACGGGAAGTACTGACCCGGTTCTGGTGGTTTTCAGAACCACACCGCGGTGATTGATCCGGGTCCAGCCCAGTTAAGCAGCAGATGTGTGGAGGACAGAAGCTAACCCGACAACAAGCMTGTCGCTGTCCCGCAGCTAGCTGCAGCTTTAGCCCCGTCAGCCCGCTCCGTCTGACCCGCAGAACCGGCCCAACTCACCGTGAGACGCCGGCCGCGGAAGTCCATGGCTCGGTTAAGGACAGCGCGGTCCTCGGGTGGTCGGGTTCGGCCAGCCGAACCGTGCGGGACGGTTGGAGGTGAAGGTGGAGTCCGCCGGCTGCTTCTCCTCCTGCTAACCTGCTCCAGCTCCTCCCAGCATGCACCGCGCCGCCCCGCCCGCACCTGCTGCGGCTCCTCAGAGGTTCCATCCAGGTGAAACAGGTGTCCTGCTGCTCACCTGCTGCTTTACAAACACTCAGAGGTTCTAAAGACTCAGATTCTGATGGAGACAAAGCCTGTTTGGACCGGTTCAGAGTCCAGAACCTCAGACTCAGGCAGAGTTACAAAGTAACTAAGTACAAATACTTATGATTTTTCAGCGTACTTTTTACTTTTACTCATTACATTTTTACACAGTTATCTGTACTTTCTACTCTCTACATTTTTTAAAAAGGTAAGAAGTATAAAGTTGTTACTCCTGTTTTATTCTGAGTTGTTACTTAAAAACACTATCCTGATAAACTGTGTCTCCTGGATAGAGTGAATTTAATTGTGTTTGGATG